GAGCTGGAGAAAGTCAAGAAGCAGGTTGAGCAGGAGAAATCTGAACTGCAAGCCTCCCTGGAGGAAGCTGAGGTAAAGCCTTCTGTTGTTAGTTAATGGTTACAATATAGTTCTGCAGCTTCAGGCTGCTCTGGAGGAAGCTGAGGTACATGATCATAATCACTGGTGTCTGCACTATATAAATGAGGAAATAGGGCTGAAATGGCCTTGATTCCCCTCTCTTCTGCCGGAGGAGTGCAGACAGCATTGATTTCTGGAAATATTTTACAATTCCCTAGAATGTAAGAACGTTTGTCATTGTTATCAATGTTTATGTCCACTTGTCCAGGCCTCTCTGGAACATGAAGAGGGGAAGATCCTGCGCCTGCAGCTTGAGCTCAACCAAGTGAAGTCTGAGATCGACAGGAAGATAGCAGAGAAAGATGAGGAGATTGACCAGATGAAGAGAAACCACCTCAGAATTGTGGACTCCATGCAGAGCACTCTGGATGCTGAGATCAGGAGCAGGAATGAAGCCCTGAGGCTGAAGAAGAAGATGGAGGGAGACCTGAATGAAATGGAGATCCAGCTGAGCCATGCCAACCGCCAGGCTGCAGAGGCACAGAAGAACCTGAGAAACACCCAGGCCGTGCTCAAGGTAGGGCAAAATTAAAGATGTGCTGTTTTCTGATGTAGCTAAATCTTTTTCCTGTGTTACAATTTGTTCAGTTCTTACTTTACAGGGAAATAGTAAATACGAAAACAGAAAACACACACCTCCCAGTCTGTGGTATCTCTCTTTCCAGGACACTCAGCTGCACTTGGATGATGCTGTCAGAGCACAGGATGACCTGAAGGAGCAGGTGGCCATGGTGGAACGCAGAGCAAACCTGCTGCAGGCTGAAGTTGAGGAGCTCCGGGCAGCCCTAGAGCAGACAGAGAGGTCGAGAAAAGTGGCTGAGCAGGAATTAATGGATGCCAGTGAGAGAGTTCAGCTTCTCCATAGCCAGGTCAGTATGTAAACATAGTATTTATACTATTGCTCCATATTTGTGAATTAACTGAAGACTGGCTGAGCTGTAACAGTATTTTATTAAATGCAGTGGCTTTCACAGTAAATAAGAAATAATAAGTGATAGATAATATTAAAACTGTTGTTTCAGTTGTAGATACAATATGAATTTCTATATACTACAGTATAGATACTATAATATTAATAAATTCAGTGAAGTGTGTGAGGTTGTTATTCTTTCACTTGAGTTCAGCACCTTTCACCTTTCCATTTAAGACTTTAAAGAGCCATGAACAAGACCATGAAAAAAATAGGACCACACGAACTCTGTCATTAATATAATTTAACAATGTCACTATAGGTATTCTATAGAATCATCTCAAAGTTTTATGGTCACTAGACTGAAAATGATAAGGAAAGTTTTTGGTTTTTTTTTTTCATTTTTCAGTCTAAAATCCTTCTTTGTTGTCTGAGAAACTGTGAGGGAAAGCTTCATGGAGGATGCTCACAAAATATCAAAGCGCATCATATATGAGAAATTAATAGTTACAACAGTAGTTCCATTAGAATCCAATGTGACCTGATGGCACAATCTATATTAAAAAAACCAAAACAATTATGCTGTACTTGATGTAATACTGCAAGCCAAAAAAACTGAAATCATGTTCATGCTCTTCAACAGAACACCAGCCTGATCAACACCAAGAAGAAGCTGGAAACAGACATTGCCCAGATCCAGGGTGAAATGGAGGATACCATCCAGGAAGCCCGCAATGCTGAGGAGAAGGCCAAGAAGGCCATCACAGATGTGAGTTGGGTGCTCCTGGCATTGCTGGTGGTGAATGTACTCTGCCCAAAATATCTCCAGCCCTAAAATGGCTTTGACCCTTTGCTCTGATCAGGCGGCCATGATGGCAGAAGAGCTGAAGAAGGAGCAGGACACCAGTGCCCACCTGGAGAGGATGAAGAAGAACCTGGACCAGACAGTGAAGGACCTGCAGCACCGCCTGGAAGAGGCCGAGCAGCTGGCACTGAAGGGAGGGAAGAAGCAGATCCAGAAGCTGGAGGCCAGGGTGTGTAGGGCTGGGTGTGTGTGTGAGTGAGCGTGTCCTTGGAGAGACATTGCCAGGGAAGCTGCAGGGATGGGCTTGTCCTTGCAGGTGCGGGAGCTGGAAGGGGAGGTTGATGCTGAGCAGAAGCGCAGCGCTGAAGCCGTGAAGGGCGTGCGCAAGTACGAGCGCAGGGTGAAGGAACTGACCTACCAGGTAAGGCAGGAGGGCTCCTGCTCTGACAGGGCTTGCTCACAGTCAGTCACATTTTGCACACACCATCCCCAAGGGGAATTGTTACCCTTGCCTGATGGAGGATCAAGAATTGACTCTCTATGCTGTTTGCCAACCTCTCTAGTCTGAGGAAGACAGGAAGAATGTCCTCAGGCTGCAGGATCTGGTGGACAAGCTGCAAATGAAAGTGAAATCCTACAAGAGACAAGCTGAGGAGGCTGTAAGTACTAGTTTGTCCAAACCAGACTTTCTTCTGGTGGAGGTGGAATTCTCTATTCGTGTTTTCCTCTGTACAGCTTTTTGAAACCTTGACTGTTTTGATGCAATGTGATGCTTTTTTGATACAATGGGGAATGTGAGAGTAAGACTTGCTGGGTTTGAGAGCAAATATACTTGCCCAACCCTATTTGTTTTGCTGTAAGCCTTATTTCTCACTCTATTTCTCTGCTTATACCGTGCCCTGGATGTCAGAAGCAGCTGTCAGGAAGTGTATTCAGGATTATGACATGAACTCTGCCTAGACCATACTGTGTATAATGTTATTTTGACATTCCAATATTCTTTTCTCTTCTGACACACATAACATCCTGAGCAGCTTCTTATCTTCGTTTTGAATCTGCTCTGCTAGCCCAGCTGTGGCGTTTGAATTGTTGTTTGCCCAGTTTTCTGGTACTAAATGTCCACACGCTGCTTGTTGTTTTCACAACTCCCTTTCCCCTCACAGGAGGAGCTGTCCAATGTCAACCTGTCCAAGTTCCGCAAGATCCAGCACGAGCTGGAGGAAGCCGAGGAGCGGGCTGACATTGCAGAGTCACAGGTCAACAAGCTCCGAGCCAAGAGCAGGGAGATTCATAAGAAGATAGAAGAAGAGGAATGAGATTCCCAAAAGTAAAAAGTGACCTGAGGCAGGCATAAAATGTAAACCTCTGTGTTACTTTCTCCAGTAATTATCATTTATGTTTAGTAATAAAGATAGTAGACACCTTTGCATATGAACAGTGACTATCATGTTTTATTTTATTCTACCTTTCATTACTTTTGAATTACATGTACACAGTTCATCTTCAAATTTAAAGGTATAACAAACAGCAAAGTATTTTTACACTTACATTTCAAAAATGCATGAAGGATGGTAATAATTATATGGATTTATTCTTCCTCTCACAACGATAAGTATGTGTTTCTTTGATGGACTAAGACTACATTATTTCGAGTGATTTTCATCTTCTTAGAAAAAAAAATAATAGGAGTAAAGGTTCCTGAAACTTTTAGCATACATACCCACAGCATATATATATAAATATGTATATAACTACATATATATATATATATATATATAAAATTTGTATTAATTGAAAGATATTAAGATTAAAAGTATGGGAAACTCAAATTTCATTCCGAGCAGTGACAAGCAGTCAAACTAACATGGTGGGGAAGCGGCAGGAAGAGATATCCCCACTCCCTTTCTCTGAAGTAATTTTATTCCATGCATAGTACAAAATTATATCCATTCACATGCAGGATGAGTGAGAGGAATCCACATTTAAAGGCCTATGGAATAAAGAATAGTTAAGACTGAGGACTGTATTTATAATTTCAGTCAAATCTTCCACTGCCTTTCTAGGTTCAGCCCTTCAGCTCTGTCCACAACCTGACTGTCCTGTCTATTTATTGTCATTCTAAACATACTGTGCCTCTTTGTTTTCCTAAGAACCGATTATTAGCCCACAATATTTCATTTTGCATTAAGCTGAACTAGACAGTCAACATTTACATGTTGATTAGAAATGTAAGGTGAATTACAACATTGTTTGGATAAGGTGTCTAAACACTGATCATAATTCACAGATAAGTAAGTAAATTAGAAGGTTTGGGAATCCATTCAACGTGTCCAAGGACCTGGTAAATTTGAAGCAAAGCTGGATAGGTTCTCTTGCTGCTAATAAACTTGCTTTTGCCAAGACATAGAGTGGGATACTGACTTGGTTGGTATTTTGTGTCAAGATTTAGCAGCTCCCTCAAACTTGCTCTTTATTTAAAGCAAGTCCTAAACATCTTTGGCCATCCCACCAGAGCTGTCAATCCCTGGCTGACCTTCATATGTCCCTTTTGGATAGCCTTTCTAATCCTTCAGCCAGTCTACAACTGCTGTAAAACCACTGCTTTAAAATTATAAACATTCCTAATTAAATATAAAAATAACATTTGAGCAGCAGATGACAGCTGGAGCAGGGAAGGGACACTAATCCATCTATTGTAGAAATCATAGTTTAGGATCCATCACAGCTGAGCATCTCTGGGATTTTTTTGGTGCACCCTTGAACTCTTTGGGCCTTTGCAGCACATTTTGAATGAGCAGGACCTGTCTTCCCTGTGACTCTGATGTCAAACATGGCCCAGCTGCATGGCCCATCACAGGATGTGTCAGTGTGCTTCTGAATGCCCCACTCTTCTAAGGGCTCATCAGAGACCTACATTAACACATTGCTGTTTTTGTACCAGGTGCATTTCAGAAAGGGTGGCAGGGTGAACGAGGGAACTACGCTTGATCTGAGCAGCAAAAAGTTTTTCTCTGCTCTTCTAGCATGTTGCATTTCTGCGCCATCCATAGGTTTTTTGCTGTGCCACAGCTGTTATGTGGACAGATCTTGGCTGGAGATGGGGCCCCATAACACTCCTGCCTACCACAAAGGCCACAGTACAGATGGAAATGCTCCTGGAGCCAGCTTCAGGAGTTGCAGTAACCTAAGGGGGCCTCTGCCAACAAGGCAGAAGGACAACTTTGTTCTGCTAATGCTAATGCATTTGTATTTCCCCATGCAGCTTCTTACCTACATCCACTCCTTCCCAGCAAAAGCAGGGTGTGGAAGGGGAGCTGTGGGAGGCAGGGAGGGGAGTAGTGGGAGCAAGATGCTGGTTGGGCACAACAGGAGAGATGGGAAGCCTTCACCAGGGCCCTGAACCGTAATGATACAGAGTGAAATGGGCCCTCCAGGCAGGTGCAAAGGGGAATCTGTTTATTGCAACAACCAGGCCTTTTCAAGCAATCAGGCCTTTATCAGTTAAGCACAACAAACACAACTCAACCAACCACCATACACCACAATGTGAACACATAATGGTTACATAACTTGTTTCTCTTCCTCTAATTCAGCGGAGTCATTCCCAGAGTCCTTTTCTACTCAGCCAAAGCAACAGCAGTGAACCATGATTTTACAAGGGTAACACGGCCTCCAATTTGTAAAGTTTTATTTATTCCCAACATTGAACCACCCTCTACTGTGCTGTTGGGCCCCGCCAGAGGCAGTACAGAAAGACACACCCATAAATGCCAGCCATGAACTGGTTTTAAAGCTCTTTCAATGGTTTATCCATATTTTCTAGGAATTTTAACAGTTCCCTTTCCGTTTTAACTATTTTTTCAGCCTCTGTTGTCACCCCGTGCTTTGCCCCGACATCTCCCAGCCAGCACCTTCCCTGACCAGCTGCAGACTCTGTCCAGGCACAAGGATGAGGGAGGGGAGCAGAGGGTGAGTCTGTCAGAGATAGGTAATGAAGAAAAATATTGTGGCATGATGCTTATTTAGTCCTTTCTTCTACTGATGAAGCACCAATGATGGCAGATAGGAAAGTTCCAGGGAATCAATGGAGACCCTGACAACTTCTAGAATACAGCTAAAATAGGAAATAATTTATTTTGTTCTCTATAAACTTTCTTTCTTTTTTTTTTTTGTTTTTCAGGAATGTATCCTAAGTTAGTCTTTATGCCCTTTCAGGTTGCAGTAATTTGTTTAGTGAACATCCACTGCAATCAGCTGCAATTGTTTTCCAGCTGGTGTTTATTGGGGGTTACAGTTTATCATCATTGGCTGCTTGGAAAGCTGTGTTGTTAGCCCAAACTTAACACACTGTAAAGTATGAACAGAACAGGTTATATTAAAAGGGAGAAATTTTTATTGGCATAGTTTTTGCCATTATGCTCAATAAAAAAAGTTTGCCCTTTTTAAGTGCCTTAAACATTTTCTTTTTGAAGAAGCCACTACCTTTTAACAAGTCTGAGAGCTGGCTGAAGAGACTGCTCAGGGCTCCCACTTCACTGCAGCCTTGCTAGAAGGATTTATAGATTCCTCTGCTCAGACAACTGCTGTGTCCCCTTTCTCGAGCAGCAATACAGAAATGCTAGCTTCAGTAATTGTTGCTAGTGTGAACACATTCAGAATGAACAAAGACAAAATATCAGCATAAATTTGACACAAAGAGAGTGTTGCAGTTTTGGTCCAACCAGATGGAAACACCAATTTTGTGTAGTGGTTTTGATTTGCCAATTTGATATTTCCCAGCCAATGCACTAATTAGCATGGTGGGTCTAGCGCTGGCCAAATTGCCAGTGCACCCACTAGAATTATTTACTCATTTCCTGCTGTGAGATGGGATTAGGAGGAAGGCAAAACAGGCTCAAACTTTGAAGGGTACAAAGAAAAACTTTATTACCAGAAACTACAAGAAAAAAATAATAAGAATGAGAATAAAACTTTCAGAACTTTTCTCCTCCCCCCACAACTTTTCTTTCACACTGACAATGTACAGAAATAATTAATCAGTTTACCATCTTTCACTGATTTACATAGGGAGAGGAGACTTCACTCTATGGAAACTTCTCCACAAGATACAATTCTCTTGTGGTTTCAATTTCCACAAATAGCAGCCACCTGGGAAATCTGCAATCATGAAATCCCTCTCATTTTTCAGCCTTCCCACTGCTGAATTTATGGGCCATGTCAACCTACGGAGCATAAAAATTTTAAGGACTAGCAATTCAAGAAAAGGCTCTTGTCAGCCTTTGAAAACAGGAACTTCTTCCCTGAGGGGTAACAGGGGTCTTCATCTCTCATCTCTGATCAGACTTCTCATGGGATCACATTTACTTCAACATCTGCTTACTTCAACACAAATGCCTCTGCTCATGGCCTCAATGTGAATGCTTCATCTGCCCAAAAAAATGCATTTCTATTAGTTACAGGGAAGCAAGAGTATCTTCTCCACAGCTTAAAAGAGAAATTTCAATCCACAACTCTCCTTCCCTCATCTAGGACCTGACTCCTCCTTCTTGTCTGACTTGGGTGTCTCTATGATGTTTTCTGTGTGTGTCTCCATCTCTGTCCTTTTCTTTCACTCAGGAGAGAGAACAAAGTATCTGCAAGTCCTATCTGGGCAGTAAAAGAGGTAATATTTTGCCTGGACCTGCAGATGTGATTCCTGTCAGGTGGTGGCCCAGAGCTGTTTATGATAGGGAGTCTTTCAGCAGCCATTCTGAGGCTGGGCCGGGCTGGCAGTGGCCCAGTCAGAAATGGTGATGGTTGCTCTGGGCACATCCCATTTGGGGGGCCCAGCTCAGCCCCCTCTGGGCCATAGGGGCACAGCAGGGTGGGCCCTGCCCAGAGCTGCTCCCGGGCCTGGAGCTCGGCCCAGGCAGGCGGCAGGACCCCACATCAGCCCCATGTTAGCAGAGCAGCCACACTTCAGCCCAGAATGGGCCCCCTGGCCACACCGAAGGGAAGCGGGGCTGGGCTAGGATCTTAGCAGCTGAGCTGGCCTCCCCTCCCTCTTTCTAATCAAACTCTGGGGGTCCTGGCCGAAATGGGGCCCAGTGGGCTTCCTGAGCCCTGTGTCAGAGCCTGCCCAGCCCTGCCCGGCCTGGCCCAGCCCGGCCCACATGGAGGTGCCCAGGCTGGTGTTACTGTAACAAGTTTTCCCGGGGTTTTTAGTTTTAGAATGTGTTTCCACAGAGGCATGTTCAGCTTTCTCAGTGGTTTAATACATTGTCAGTTCTCAAAACCCATCATTCATTGTTTTTTGTCAGACACAGAGGAAGCTCTCAGAAAAAAACTTCCATGGATGTCTTTTTTTCCTCCTCTAAATATCTTATGTGTCAAACCAGCACAGAGAGAGAAATTTTAGTGAGGGATAGAGGTTCAATACTAGGTTTGTTACATGTGTGGGTGAGATTCAACTCCAAACTCAAATATCTATTTTTAGTCATCTTCACGCCCAAATAAATCTCCAGGTGTGTGAGCTGAATGTCTGAACTGCCATTGTAGACAACATCATTAAAATTAAGAATATGTTTCAGCTCAGTCTAAGGTTGACAACTTCAATGGGACAATTGATTCATTTTCCAGTCCCTATGAACTCAAGCTCCCATGCTGGTAGGACATTGACTGGGAATATAAAGGCAAATAAAGGAAAGGAAAAATAGAAGTGAAAACAGATCAAGCAATATGTTATAGGTTGTGGAAATTTTCAATTTCATGTGATTTTGAAAAATCCTTTGACAAACTACTTCATTTTGAGTCTTCAAACCTTTATGGATTATTCATTATCTATTTGATAAAAAGTCTTGCAAATCAACCTTTCAGGCAGCTATCAGCTTTATGCCAGTATTACATATGACTGTGGGAAAACCATGAGTTTTTATTTTCTTTTTTTTTTTATTTGCAGCCAGTTTTAATCCAGGTCAAAAACTGCATGCACCAGCAAAATAAAACAACATCCTTGAAACACCTGAAACTAACTTGAATTCCAGTTCTCACATACATAATTGCATTAAAGACATGAAAGAAGTGCTGCTTTATGTTCTGATGAGGGTTTAGCTGTTAGGGCTAAAGCATAGGCCTCAGTCTTATCTTCAGTGGGAATTTGCTCCAAACATGAAACTGATGTCTGTCAATCTCCTTCCCACACCCAGGATTACAGTGCCATCACAGAGATGCAGACAGCTGAGAGAAGAGGAGGAAGGAATTACCTCACTTTCTTATCCAGACCTCTGAGTAGGAGATGCTACGACAGACAAGAGCACAACTGGTACTGTAATTGGGGAGGCAATATGCTGTGGGACCAGGTGAAGCTGCTGAAATGTGACTCACTTCAGATCTTCTTGTTTGTGGTAGGAACTGTAGTTTGGAAAGTGAAGGTCAATACATGAAAAGAAACAAACAAACAAAAAAAAAAAAAAAAAAAAACCAAAATCCCAGCAAACCAACAAACCAAAACCACCACACTGAGAAAAACCCAACCCAAAACCAAGCACCCCCAAACCCTGAACAAATCCAGATCTGTTGCATGGGGAGGAAATTGCTTCTCAGTAAAGAAAATGGTTCCACTGCTCTCTTCACCACTCTGATCCTTGTGAACATAGAACATGTCCCCTCTTTAATCTGGGTGAGGAATATCCCAGAGATCAGAACAGTAGATTGGCTTTATCATGAGGTTCAGATCCCTCTAAAAATAATTGCCTGTCTTCCAGAACAGCATTGGTTATGACTGACTATTTTAGAGGATGTAAATTTATTAAATCTTTCCTAGTACACTTATCTTGCAAAAGTAATGCTGAATGACTACCCTATGTTGAGACAGCAGCTATCTCTCCTGATTCCAATGGGATATATTTCTTAAGTTTTGTACAATGCTTCCATCGTGCTGTTCGTATGATCTTGGAGCTCTAAAAACAAGAATTCAATTCCTGTGTCTTTTGTCTGGGACTTAACTCGATGACTTCAGGGTTTCAAGCTTTTATCTTTATATTTTATTGCTTCTTTTGACCATTATGACTTGCTGTTATCCCACTGGAATCCCAACCCTATATACTTCACAGAATCACAGAATTAACCAGATTGGAAAAGACCTTTGAGATCATCAAGTCCAACCTGACCTAACACCACCTTATCAACTAAACCATGGCACAGAGTGTCACATCTAGTCTTTTCTTAAACACCTCCAAGGACTTCCTCTTCTGTATTCACGTACCCTTCCTTATCACTACATTCAGTCTCATTCTTCCTCCCTTCGCTTGCTTTGGCTTTGATCCATTCCAGTCCTTTGTCTTCTTATCATCTCCTGATTCTCACTTCTGCAACTTCTGTTCCTTTTCAGATGCTTCCTCCTGCATTGGGGTTTTCTTCCTCTAGCAATAACCCTGCCTCTCAGCAGGACCTCTCCTGCTTTTCCACACTGAAGGCTCTGAGTACTTGCAGCAGGCAGGAGCCTGTGCTTTCTCTCCATCCCTACATGTTTCCTACGAGACAAACTGGCTCTTACTCTTCACTGTTTCTGTGCGAGTCAGCATCCGATGGATTACAGAACCAATGTAGCCCCTTTCATCTCCTCTAGCACGCCCTCCCACTTCCCCCCCTTCTCATGCTTTCTTGTCAAATTATTTATAGGACATTGATTCACAGACCTGTTATGTCTAATTATATCCATTCACTTCTAATATGAATCGCAATTCTGTTAGGAGTTAAGATTGCCAAAAATGTTTTGACCTAAGAAAGAGGAGGTGGTGGCTACATATGCAGATCAGATCCTATAAAAGTGCCCTGGGATCTGTGTGTCTTGTCCTTTCTCAGAAATCTCTAAGGTAAGAGTTTCAGGGCTTGGGACTAGGGAGGTCGGGAATGAAGGGAAACTGGCCCTGCATTCCACAAGTTCCAGTGCATTCCTACGGATGCTCACATTCATTCACTGGGGTCTGCCAGTGTCAGCTGGGATTTTCAGTCTGCTTTCCAACCATCCATTTGCTTTCAGTCAATAACTGTTGTCTGGGGTGCAGCAGTAAGAAGTAAGTTACTAATCCGTTTTTTAATACTCTCCGTCTTCCAATCTGCCACCCTTTGTCTCACAAAAGGTAAGATCTTGATTTATTCACTTTTTAGGGTCAGGTAGATTTGCTGTAAGGCAGGGCTTCTATGCAGGTGTGCTGGAAATCCTGGTAGTCATTATATCTATGTCCATTGTATAAATACAGTATGAGAATTGGACTGTATTGTTGTTATTTTTGTCACAAGATTCTTAAAGAGCATGATCTTTAAAGTACTGATCAAAGCAGCATTGCCAAACTCTCCCCAGGAATCTCCAGCAGACACCAGTTCCTGGAGAAACTGTCCTGAGGGGGTAAAAAAAAATCAGAAGAAAAGCACTTTCCAATTATTTGGGGTGTGTTTTTTGCATTTATCTCAAACATCAAGGGTCACTGGCACTGACTGTGAAGCAACAGGAAAAAAGATATTTAAATAATGTTAATAAGTTCTTTTTTTCACATAGAAGCTTGAGGAATATTGTTAAAATTTTGTGTATCAAAACATCAAAGTGCTAAATGCAAGCATTCCAGTCTGAGCATCCTTATAGGCTTGTTTCTGCTTCTGAAATAATGCATAATTGTGACAAAATTGTATAAGCAAATATTTGTAATCATACGGAACTGAACAAAGGATGATACCTACTTGGATAACTGGAAAAACAGAGATGGAACTGCAACTAAATTCAGTTTTAAATATTTCCACTGAGGAAAATAAACTCTTCACATTTACTTTCACAGTAATTTATATTAATTTTGTCAAATATTGTCACTAGAATATATCCCTCAAAATTATAAAATAACAACAAGCAATCCTTTAAGGAATATAACCAGCATGCTTCGAATCAGTGAAGGAGATTTAGCATAGCATTGATTTCAGGAAATGTCAAACAAAACAATCAAAAGAAAATAGTTTCATCCTTTAAAAAATCAATCTACTGACACAATACATACATATACTAATGTATACTAACCTACTATATCTATTATAGTTTTTGATAGTTAGGATCATAAGGATATATTGTGAGAAAAGCATCCAATGTCTATAAAACAAGTCAATGTACAATATAGATATAATGTACAAATATAAACTAATATCCTATAATATATAATAACATAATATACATATTGACATAGTATATATATACACTGCACTATACTATATACTATAAGATGTATAATATAGCAATCTTATTTCACCTAGGAATAGTTCGTATTACTCCTGTTAGGAATCTTGTAAGAAAATGTGAGATAATATGAGCAGTGTTAAAATTGCTGGTGAAAAACTGTGACCATTTTTCAACCATATGTGATTATTTTGTGGAATGGTCTCATTTGAGTTTATAACATATGAATAAAGTGAAAAAACATGTAGTTAGAGACAAAACCAGTCAGGAAATTGTACCCATTCATTTGAATTTATATAAACAATTTGTGTCATGAAGTTTGTCTTTGGCTTAAAAGGCAAAGTTTGGGGTTTTTGTTGTTGTAAAGAATGTTCTTCCTAATATCTAATCTAAACTCATCCCGTTTCAGTTGTGAGAAATTCTCCTTTGTTCTGTTGCTCCAGGTCCTTGTCTAAAGTTTAATTTCAAGTCTCTTGGAACTCCTTTAGGTAATGAGAGGTTGCTAGAAGTTCTCCTTGGAGTCTTCTCTTCTCCAGACTGAACTACCCCAGCTCTCCCAGCCTATTTCCAGAGCAGAGAGACTTTATCCCTTGGAGCATCTCCATAACCTCCTCTGCTTTCTCTCCAACAGCCCGATGTCCTTCCTACGCTGGGACCCCAAATACAAAAAGACAGAAAGCATTCTTCTGTAAATGCAATTGTCCAGTAGGACTAAAGATCTGACCACACAAAAAAATAATTACAAAAGAAAAAAAATTGCAGAAGAGAACTCTGAATTAGCAGAAACAGGAAAGGCAATTTAGTTGATACCCAAAGAAGAGCAATTAAATGTGCTAATAGGGGTGTTTCTTCCATCACACGCTGTTTTAATATATTCTCTACCCTCACAGATACTCGCTGCCTTACGTGTAGTAAGCAGCAGCCATGTCTACAGATGCCGAGATGGCAATCTTTGGGGAGGCAGCTCCTTACCTCCGGAAGTCAGAGAAGGAGAGAATTGAGGCCCAGAACAAACCTTTTGATGCAAAGTCATCTGTATTTGTGGTACATGCAAAGGAGTCTTATGTGAAGAGCACAATCACAAGCAGGGAACCGGGAAAAATCACTGTCAAGACTGAAGGGGGAGAGGTGGGTAAAGTGCAAGATTTATGAACAGCAGTTCATTCCCACTCTTAGCTCTTAGCTGACGTGTATGTACCTTCCTGCCCTCTGACAGACCCTGACTGTGAAGGAAGATCAAATCTTCTCCATGAACCCTCCCAAGTATGACAAAATCGAGGACATGGCCATGATGACCCACCTCCACGAACCCGCCGTGCTGTACAACCTCAAAGAGCGTTACGCAGCCTGGATGATCTACGTAAGTGGCAGCAGCAGCTTCCTTTGGGCAGCCTCAGGAGCTGCTGGGCCAGGCTCAGGGGAAGCCAACGTGCTGTGTCCCTTCCTCACAGACCTACTCGGGTCTCTTCTGCGTCACTGTCAACCCCTACAAGTGGCTGCCGGTGTACAACCCCGAGGTGGTGTTGGCCTACCGAGGCAAGAAGCGCCAGGAGGCCCCTCCACACATCTTCTCCATCTCTGACAACGCCTATCAGTTCATGCTCACTGGTGAGTAGCTCTCATCATAAGCATCAGATCATAACTGTTCTGCTTTGTCTTGATAGAACCTGGCATGGAAAATGAAATAGGATTATGTAGTGCTGTGAGTTTTGCTTCCACCTTTTTCACTCTTTTCTTTCTCTGTGCTATTGAGTTCCAAAGCGTTACCCATGATCAGGATTCCTTTGTCGTGGGTCTTTACTCTCCCTTTCTCAGCTGCTCTAAAAGTAGCCTGTATAGCTGAAAATGAAAATAATTTACTGTATGCAGGAGAAGGAAAGGACCATAGAATGGAACAGAGAAGAAGCACATGGCTCTTAAAGAGTTTTCAATGTCCATGGCAAAGGATTATAGAATAACAGAATGTTTTGTGCTGGAAGGGATCTTTAAAAATGTCATGGGCCTTCCCTTTGACATTTGGAGGGACATCTTCAACTAGATTAGGTTGCTCAAAGCTCTGTCTAACTTGACCTTGAACACTTTTATTTGCAGGATATTGGCAACATCTTTGGGCAACTTGTTGCTCTGGCTCACCACCATCATCATAAAATCAACCTCTCTGAGACAAAATCTGCTGCCCCTTGTTCTGTCATTACAGACTTGGGAAAAAGTCCTTATGTGTCTTTCTACCATTCATTAACTATTTGGACATGCTACCTTTGACTGCAACCCCTTTCATGCATCCTCCTAGGGAATTCCTTATCCAACAGTCCAACCATCAAATCCACAACCATCTAAGCTTGGGTCATAAGTGTTGTGAATATACTTCAAGGAAAGAGTGTAAGGACAAATTGCTTTGCAAGGAGTTGAAATGGAAAAAAAGGCATAGGAGCAAACAAAGGAAAAAATGCAGGTTTTCTTACTTGCCATGACTTACATTCATTTTCAGTACTTTTGTGCTCTTCATTTACAAAGTCTATTTGTTTCTGTCTCTTCACAGACCGGGAGAACCAGTCCATCCTGATCACGTACGTACACCCCCTGTGCGGGTCCCTGCGGGGCTCTCTGGTGCCAGGGCACCTCCTGCCTGACCACGCACCCTCTGCTTCTCTCTTGGCTTTGGCAGCGGAGAATCCGGTGCCGGGAAGACTGTGAACACAAAGCGTGTCATCCAGTACTTTGCAACAATTGCAGCCAGTGGGGACAAGAAGAAGGAGGAGCAAACCTCAGGCAAAATGCAGGTGAGGTCCCAGGGCTAGACATCTGCAATTATCCAATTTCATGATGAGCTAGATCATGACAAGAAAACTTTTGTTTCAGGGGACACTTGAGGATCAAATCATCAGCGCCAACCCACTGCTGGAGGCCTTTGGAAATGCCAAGACTGTGAGGAATGACAACTCCTCACGCTTTGTGAGTTGTTACTTGGGACAACTGTCAACACCAGTGTGAATACTATTGATGCCTGGATTGGTAAAATAAGTCCCAATTGACTTTCCTTCTGCTCTCAGGGTAAATTCATCAGAATCCATTTTGGTGCCACAGGCAAACTGGCTTCTGCTGACATTGAAACATGTAAGACACCCTTGTGGCCTGATCCCCTTCCCTCCAGCCTTCCCCACTCCTTGTGCTTGACTGGGTCCTACCATCCTTGCCAGATCTGCTGGAGAAGTCCAGAGTCACTTTCCAGCTCAAGGCGGAAAGGAGCTACCACATCTTTTATCAGATCATGTCCAACAAGAAGCCAGAGCTAATTGGTAGGAAAGATCCTCCAGGCAAAGGTCATGGAACAACACTGAATTCCTTTCCATGCCAATTGCATGTGACCTGGCTGTGTCTCGTCCTTCTTTTCAGAGATGTTACTGATCACCACCAACCCCTATGACTATCTGTACGTGAGTCAGGGTGAGATCACAGTTCCCAGCATTAACGACCAGGAAGAGCTGATGGCCACTGATGTAAGTAGCAGAAGTTGTCTTAGGTGAAGTTTCATTTCTCTGACCTTGAACAGCTGGGGTACTCACCTTAACAACTCCTTTGTTAGAGTGCCATTGACATCCTGGGCTTCACTCCAGATGAGAAAACAGCCATCTACAAGCTGACAGGGGCTGTCATGCACTATGGGAACCTGAAGTTCAAGCAGAAGCAGCGTGAGGAGCAGGCAGAGCCTGATGGCACCGAAGGTACCAGCACAACCCATCCCAGAGCACAGAAGATAGTGAACACTCAGTTAAAGGCAGCATGTCAGGGTCACAATGATTGACTCAGCCTGTGCATTTCCCCAGTGCCACTATTGTAGAATGGCAGTGGGTCTAAGCCAGAGGACTTCTCTGGAGGAACACTTAGTGGAACCTGCAGATTATTTTGAACAATGAAAAAATTAGGTCCAGTGACTCCCAAAGCATGCTTCATTTTTCTGTCAGAGTGTGAGTCAGGTAAAAGTAAAGCAAGCTTTGTTGATGTCTTGAATGGAAGCTTCCCAGGCTTGACACAGAACCAGGAGCAACTCTCAAGTACTAATGAATAATGATATAATTATAGTGCAGTAGCTTATATACAATCACTGTGTGCATATACATAAATACATATATATCTCCAAATTAGAAATTTTCTTCTTGTTTCATCTTTCTAGTTATAAATGTGCCTTAAATGTCTTGTTGGAAATAACACATAAAATAAAAGCAGCTCAAAATTAGCATCTGTTATAAATCTCATATAATGAGGTTTGGCCTTCTCACATTGAAGAACTCTGTAAATAATACTGGTGCTTGCTATCAGCTTCACTGTGAGACAAGACAGACAGCAAATTGGAAAGTGATGACAGAGTGTATGCAGTGCAGTGGTGCTTGTATTTGTTAACCTAGCTGCAGATAAAGTGAGAGCTGGGAAAGACTTAATGTGTTTGATGTTTATCCTTAGGGACAATATAGTCTGACCATGAATGTTGTACAAGATGTCCTATTCATACTTTTGGCATTATACCTCACTAATCTTCCTCTCTCTCTCCAATGACGGGAGAGTTTCACTGACCACAATTTTCAGTGCAGTGTACTTGAACACCAACCACTTTCTTATTCTGTTTAGTCAGAAACTGTGACTGTTTCATCTGCCATTTTCACGGTCCTTGGTCCTCTTGTCTGTCTAGTCTCTTGCATGCTCACTGTAAAAGTATTGCAACAATATTTAACTTTATGAATCATATAGATTAAATCAGAAAAAATTGGCAAGTCAAGAAAAACTACAGTATTTTAAAGGATATGGTAATGTATATGTGGCTTCTGCAGAAATCTGAATTACTGCAAGATCCTTTCACTGGAGAGCTAATATCTGATCCTGCTCTATGCTTGTTTTCTTAGTTGCTGACAAGGCTGCCTACCTGATGGGTCTGAACTCAGCAGACCTGCTCAAGGCCCTCTGCTACCCCCGAGTCAAGGTGGGGAATGAATACGTGACCAAGGGCCAAACTGTGCAGCAGGTAAGAGACAAGTGATAATAAAAACCAAAATGACTTGAATTAAAATTTTTGAACTTCCTCTTTTGCTGCAGATGGTAGCTTTCCTTTAACTTTTTCTTAGGTGTACAATTCAGTGGGTGCCCTGGCTAAGTCTGTGTTTGAGAAGATGTTCCTGTGGATGGTTGTTCGCATCAACCAACAGCTGGACACGAAGCAGCCCAGGCAGTACTTCATTGGTGTCCTGGACATTGCTGGCTTTGAGATCTTTGATGTAAGAGGAGGATCTCCATAAAGCTTTCCTGGAAGAGACATTAGGAAATTGGAATAATTTGGGGGTTGGGGTGTGCTTTATTTCAAACATGGGTTATTTCTATTTATTGGATAATCCTGCCTTTCCTCTAAGAATGGTACCCTTCTGGCTCTCGTTGTATGTAGTATCCCACAGGCCTCTATTTATTTGTAGATGTTTGTTTTGCATGCAGAAGTGTAAATTGCATTAAAAACTGTTGAACAACTGATAAATAATAGCAGAGAGAGATTTTGAGGAAGTTAAAATATGCCTTTTTTAAAGGAAGATTTTGTTAATGCTGAAGCCAGATTTCCTCTGAATACTTGGGAATAGACAGGTAATGTACACAAATTCAAACAAATGAAAAGCTGGACTGGACTAAGCTCTGCAGATCTATTCAGAGCTCAGAAATATGTTGAGACACTGCCAGGGCCTAAAAGGTTAGATACATTAGAGGATGGAAAATGCCAGGCACCTATCCAGTTCCAGCACTAGAAATACAAGATTCCAATCATGATGGACCTTAGTGGGATAAGAATAAAGACTTTTGGAAGATGGAAGGTGTTCCTGGAACAGAAACTCACAGGTAAATATTTGCCTTCTGCAGTTCAACAGCCTGGAGCAGCTGTGCATCAACTTCACCAATGAGAAACTGCAACAGTTCTTCAACCACCACATGTTCGTGCTGGAGCAGGAGGAGTACAAGAAGGAGGGGATTGAATGGGAGTTCATTGACTTTGGCATGGACCTGGCTGCCTGCATTGAGCTCATTGAGAAGGTTATTGGCTGTCACATATTTAATAGTTTTTCAGTTGTGAAACTTCTGTTTTAACATTTCTTAAGAAATTTTCTGTCTCATTTTAAAGAAAGAGCATACAGGAAGTTTAAACTCTTCCTTATATCTGAATGCAATTACTTTTATTCATTTTGCTTTCCACTTTCACCAAACACGTACAAAATCAATTTCTACATGCTAGATCTTTATTACATCACAACCCTGAATTTTTTGGGGGAGCTTGTTTTTGTATAACTGATGGCATATCCACTAAAAAAGTGCCCTTCCTGGAGAAGCATAAGATTACACATACTGAGGAGAATTTTTTGGTATAACTTTTATCTTCCATTCCTCTTTCTTACATACATTGCCTCTGTTTATTCCTTCCACACTTTATTCACATGTTGCTATTTCTCCCAGCCCATGGGTATCTTCTCCATCCTGGAAGAGGAGTGCATGTTCCCCAAGGCAACTGACACCTCTTTCAAGAACAAGCTCTATGACCAGCACCTGGGCAAGTCCAACAACTTCCAGAAGCCCAAGCCTGGCAAGGGCAAGGCTGAGGCCCACTTCTCCCTGGTGCACTATGCTGGCACAGTGGACTACAACATCACTGGCTGGCTGGAGAAGAACAAGGACCCTCTGAATGAAACTGTTGTGGGGCTATATCAGAAATCATCCCTGAAGACTTTGGCCTTGCTCTTTGCATCTGCTGGTGGGGCAGAAGCAGGTGATTTCTTTGAAATCAGTTCTACTATAATTTACAGAAAAGGAAACTAAAATCTTATAATAATATTTTGCAATGATATTTACATTTCTAAATTGAAAACCCAAAACCTTGTCTACTTTTTGGATCTCAGTCTAATAAAGGATATTACAATTCCCTAGAGACCTTAACAGATCTGTAGATTTTAGAACGAGACAAAAGCATTAACCCAGGCTAGCTGAGAAACCAGATTTCTGCACTATGGGCCATTCTCAAATACTTCAGGGAATACAATCAGATGTATCAACACACTGTTAAATTTATGCATATTCTTAGATGTAAGGATACATAAACACTGCATTTGGTGTATTGACTAGCTATTAGTTTAGTCTCTCAAATATCTATCTATGTAAAATACTACATTTCATATCCCTACTGCATTTTCTAAATTTCAGCTTAAAGTCATTAGATTTCCTTCTAATGTTATCTGAAAAATTCAAGTCTCTTGTTTTAACTTTAACCCTTGCCTGCATTTGCAAATTTTCATCATATTATTAGTTTTGATAGATTTTTAAGATGAACATAAAAGGTTTTTCAGATTCTGTGCATTTTTGTTGTTCACTTCTTTATAAATGATTTATTACTTTTTAGAGAGCAGTGGCGGTGGTGGCAAGAAGGGCGCCAAGAAGAAGGGTTCTTCTTTCCAGACTGTCTCAGCTCTTTTCCGGGTACTGTAGCATAATCATTCTAAACTTACCACATTATGAAAAGAAAAACAGAAAATTCAGTTCAGAAAAGCTTTAGATTGATCTAATATATCTTTGTGTTCAGAAAAGATAAAATTAATTGCTTCTACTAAAGAGGAATTCTTACTGAATCTTGGGAAGTATTCTTTCAGAACTGCCCAAAAGTTCTGTAAAAAAATTAATGATCATGGTTTTATTGCAGTGTTTTTATCTCCACCTAGTATTGAGATTGTGTAAGAGACACTTTTAAATCCAAGGCTTTGTTCTTGCTCCTAAGGAAAATTTAAACAAACTGATGAGCAATTTGAGAAGCACACATCCCCATTTTGTGCGGTGCCTTATTCCTAATGAAACAAAAACACCTGGTAAGTTGTTGAACTTCAGAGTGTGATATATCTGATCTCCTCTGTGCAGTAAAATGATATACAATTTCGTTCTGTGATTTATTAGGTGCCATGGAGCACGAGCTGGTGCTGCACCAGCTGCGCTGTAACGGCGTGCTGGAAGGGATCAGGATTTGCAGGAAAGGCTTCCCCAGCAGAATCCTCTATGCTGACTTCAAACAGAGGTCAGATTACATGTCATCACCCTCCACCATATCCACAAATGCTGAATAATTTGCATTTCCTATTTTTAAGTACTGTGGAAGTTATGGGAGAGGTTCACTGCACCTACCTTTAGGTGCAGAAAATTTTCCAAGTGAGTCATCCAGGTTCTTTCTATAACTATTGAGAAAAAAAAAAAGTTAAAAGGACTATTATTTATTCCTGTTCTTTATTCATATTCTTGTATAAGATAAATTATTACTTAACTAAGTATCTGGAAGTGGATTACCTAAGACTTAGGCACCTAGAGAACAAAGTAAGATGACTTTCACATGTCAGCCCAAATATGTGAATAAGGACACTAAAAGACATTCTAGACTAACTTGTTTGAAAACCAAATACAATTAAAGTATCTTGCTTCTTGTTCTATATCAGCTGGAAAATAGATAGTACATACTGCCACTATTTAGGACTGAGATTTGCTTCTCCTTGCCACATATTTTGTTTTTGCACATAAAGTTCTCATTTAGAAATAAGGCATTTAGATAACATGGCATGTGAAATACATCAGCGGTTACCCACAGAAATCAGTACCCATTCTGTGTCAAAAATCTTTGGAGTAAGGGAAATGCAATTTTCCCTAAAAATGTATTTACCCATAAGAGTTCAATTTCTATACAATGAAAGAGTTCAGATTTATTCACTTACCTTCCACTCTTGATCCCACTTCAGAAAACCTTAACAATGGCATAATTTGGTACAGGTTTGGCTGAGCTTTCAAGAATCGGACCTTCCCCATATTTTATTTCCTGCTACAGATACAAGGTGCTTAATGCCAGTGCCATCCCCGAGGGACAGTTCATCGATAGCAAGAAGGCTTCTGAGAAGCTCCTTGGGTCAATCGATGTGGACCATACCCAGTACAAATTTGGACACACCAAGGTACAAACCCCCCCATTCACTGTGTCCCTGGGCTTTGCTCTACCTGACAGTGATGTGCTGCAACATTGCCTCTCTCAAGGTGTTCTTCAAAGCTGGGCTACTGGGACTCCTGGAAGAGATGAGGGATGAGAAGCTGGCACAGCTCATCACCCGCACCCAGGCCATGTGTAGGGGTTACCTGATGAGGGTGGAGTTCAAGAAAATGATGGAGAGGAGGTAGATATTTACTTAGCTTGCTGGGCCAATCCTTATCAGATACTAACGGCATGAACAAAATTGAAAATAAGCTGCTTCACAAAAAAAATCTAGTTTATTTCTCATTAATTCAGTCTGTCAATATGAAAGTATATCCTGAAAACAGATGAAGTACTATAAAATCCCAACTTAGTGAAACAAATATTTTTTTTAATACTTTGTACTAATAACTCCTGAATTCATTTAATGGCTATTATATGTATGTCCAGAAACTCAATATCTAGTCTAAGCTAATTATTTTAGGTCACTGCTAAATTAAAAGAGAGAAAGGCATATCTCAGTCACAAGAAAAGCATCCTCATTCCTTTGATAACTTTCATAAAAGCAAACAGGTCAACTTACAAAAGTGTTCCTTTTCATTGGCCATGAAAGGGAGCCAAACATCTGGACTCCAAAACTCCAAAACAGGTTGATACTATACATAACACTAGAAGGTTTTCTGTGGAAATATATGTATTATACATGTGATATAACTATTATTGAGAAATGTTTATTGAATACATGATAAATATTTTACACATAGAGATATATAGAACTATATATGTATACATATATACTATACATAGAGTATCTATATATATAGTAAATATATATATAGTTGTGTCTATATATTTATATATAACTAAAAAGTATTATGTGTTGAACTTCATGTTATACATATTAATATATACTGTTAAATATGTTTTATAGATTTTAAAATATGCACCAAAACAAATTTTATTATTACCTTTCAGGGAATCCATCTTCTGCATCCAGTACAACGTTCGTTCATTCATGAATGTCAAACACTGGCCATGGATGAAGCTGTTCTTCAAGATCAAGCCCTTGCTGAAGAGTGCAGAGTCTGAGAAGGAAATGGCCAACATGAAGGAAGAGTTTGAGAAAACCAAGGAGGAGCTTGCAAAGTCTGAGGCAAAGAGGAAAGAACTGGAGGAGAAAATGGTGGCCCTGGTGCAGGAGAAAAATGACCTGCAGCTGCAAGTGCAGGCAGTGAGTATTGCTAAAGTTCTTGACTTGTAGCATCTTATATAAAATCAAATGTCTCAGTAAAGGCATATTATCCCAAAATAGTAATTATTTTTAAAGCATACACATCTTTGATAAAATAGGAAGAAACCCTACAAAGAATAGCTAAGTTGAAATCTGCAAACATTAATCTGCAATTAACTATTGAAGATAGTTCTGGGCACTTTTAAATCAGGAGAGAAATAATCAATTTCCAGTCAGAAAATAGTTCAGTTTACAGTATGTAGTTTTAATCCTACACAGTAACTCACAGAAGCAATTAGAATCACAGAATAGTCTGAGTTGGAAGGGTCTCAGAAGGATCATGATGTCCAGCTCTAAGTGAATAGCCCATATCAGGATTGAACCACAATCTTGGTGTTATTAGTGCCATGCTCTGACCGACAGAGATTATATCAGGCAGTATCACATCTTTATAGAACTTCATAGATTTTACAATTTTCTTATGTTATCAACTGACTGATCAAGGTTGTCTGTTTTGTTTGGAGAATCACAAGTGAATTCAGATGGAGTAGGCAGGGCTGAGAGTGTAGGATATTTCTCTGGCATTTATGGTCCTGGCCTCTTCAAGAAAAATGGTGGTGAAAGTTCACTGCTTCCCTTTTTACGTGGAAATAAGAATATAGCAGCAATAATGCCCTTAAAACTGTATTTACAAGCAAGCATTTGGATTAATCTGATGGCATTTAGATGTCTAAAGCCTACATCTGAGCCAGTAGCCTCAGGTTGAAAACTGTTTTATTTAAATGAATCATGTAGGAAGCTGATGGTTTGGCTGATGCTGAGGAAAGGTGTGACCAGCTCATCAAAACCAAAATCCAGCTGGAAGCCAAAATTAAGGAGCTGACAGAGAGGGCAGAAGAAGAAGAAGAGATGAATGCTGAGCTGACAGCCAAGAAGAGGAAATTGGAGGATGAATGTTCAGAGCTGAAGAAAGATATTGATGACCTTGAGCTAACACTGGCCAAGGTGGAGAAGGAAAAACATGCCACCGAAAACAAGGTATGAGGCAGAACCTGTCACTCACACTCTGGAAAAGATTTGTCTTGTTATGAAGTTTTTAAGCACCATTTTCTATTTATGCTTGTTCCTTTCTTCCTAAAGGTGAAAAACCTGACTGAGGAGATGGCAGCCCTGGATGAGACCATTGCCAAGCTGACAAAAGAGAAGAAAGCCCTCCAAGAGGCCCATCAGCAGAC